ATCATTGTACATTATTGTTGTTCTGGTTCTGTTTATTTCACTTTCCATCAGTTCATGTAAGTCTTTCCAGGTTTTTTCTGAGAGTATCTTGCTCATGATTTCTTATAGCACAATAGTATTCCATCACAATCAAATACCACAACTTGGTGAGCCATTCACCAATTGATGCCACCACTAAAAGACTTGCTATAAATATTGCTGTATATATAAGCCTTTTCCTTTTCTTTTTTTTAATCTCTTCTGGATACAGACCTAGCAGTGGTATTGCTAGGTCAAAAGATATGCATGGTTTTGGAACACTTTGGGCATAGTTTCACACATTTCTCCAGAATGGCTGAATCGGTTCACAATTCCACCAACAATGCATTGCTGTCTCAATTTTCCCACATCTCTTCCAATGTTTATCAGTTTCCTTTTCTGTCATATTAGTCAATCTGCCAGGTGTGGGGTGGTACCTCAGAGGTTTTTTTAATTTGCAATTCTCTAATCAATTGTGATTTAGTATCAAATTGGAATAGCTCTTATTTTTATGCATTTGAATCAATTCTTTAAGTAACTGAGAAATGCTTTCATAAGACAAACTGTCTGTAAAAATTTTTTCATTTATGCTTACTGTGTATTTCCCTCCATCCTATTCTGCCCCCTCCCCCATTTATCCTACTCTCTCTCTCTCTTTCACCCTGTTCATCCTCAAAAGAGTTTTGCTTCTGACTACCACTTCCCCCACAATCTGTCCTCCCTTCTATCAGTTCACCCCCACCTTCTCTTATCCCTTTCCCCACCTACTTTCCTGTAGGGTAAGATAGATTTTTTTTTTTAATTTTTAGGCAAATGGGATTAAGTCACACAGCTAGTAAGTGTCAAGTGTTTGGTCTGAGACCAGATTTGAACTCAGGACCTCCTGACTTCAGGGCCGGTGCTCTATCCACTGAGCCACCTAGCTGCCCCGTAAGATAGATTTCTTTACCCAACTGAGGGTATATTTTTCTCTCTCTGAGACAACTCCAAAGAGAATAAAGTTCAAGTGCTCCCACCTACTTTCCCCATCTTCCCCTCCATTGTAAAAACCTCTTTTGTAACTCTTTTATATGAAATAATTTATTTCATTCTACCACTTCCTTCCTCCTTCTCCCAGTGCATTCTTCTTTCTCACCCCTTATTTTTTTGGATATCATCTCACAATATTTTTGGATATAATCTCATAATATTCTACTTACCCCCTTGTACTCTATGTATATGCCTTCTAACTGCCTGAATAATGAGAAAGTTTTTAAGTGTTACAAGTATCATCTTCCCATGTAGGAATGTAAACAGTTTAACGTATTGAATCCCTTATGATTTGTCTTCCCTGTTTATCTTTTTATGCTTCTCTCGAGTCTTGTATCTCAAAGTCAAATTTTCCATTCAACTCTGGCCTTTTCATCAGGAATGTTTCATTGAATGTCCATTTTTTTTCCCTGAAGGATTATACTCAATTTATACTCAATTATACTCAATTTTCCCTGAAGGATTATGCTCAATTTAGCAAAATTATAATCTTGGTTATAATCCTAACTCCTTATTTTAGAATATTGTATTCCAAGCCTTTGATCCTTTAATGTAGAAACTGCTAAATCTTGTATTATTTTGACTGTGGCCCCACAATATCTGAATAGTTTCTTTCTGGTTGCTTACAATAATTTCTCCTCTTCCTGTGAGCTCTGGAATTTGGCTATAATATTCCTGCGGGTTTTTATTTGGGGATCTCTTTCAGGAGGTGATCAGTGGATTTTTTTCCATTTCTATTTTATCCACTGGTTCTAGAACATCAGGGCAGTTTTCCTTGATAATTTCTTGAAAGATAATGACTAGGTTCTTTTTTAGATCATGGCTTCCAGGTAGTACAGTAATTCTTAAATTATCTCTCCTTGATCTATTTTCCAAGTTGGTTGTTTTTTCAATAAGATACTTCACATTTTCTTCTACTTTTTCATTCTTTAGATTTTTCTTTATTTCTTCTTGATGTCTCATGGAGGCATTAGCTTCCACCTGCCCAATTCGAAATTTTTTTTTTTTTTAGGCAATTGGGGTTAAGTGACTTGCCCAGGGTCACACAGCTAGTAAGTGTCAAGTGTGTGGTCTGAGGACAGATTTGAACTCAGTCCTCCTGACTTCAGGGTTGGTGCTCTATCCACTGCGCCACCTAGCTGCCCCTCAATTCTAATTTTTTAAAGAATTATTTTCCGTTTGGCCAATTATGCTATTTAAATAGTTCTTCTCTTCCGTGAATTTTTGTTTATCTTTATCCATGTGGCCAAGTCTGCTTTTTAAGGCATTCATCTCTTCATTGGACTTTTGTGCCTCTTTTAACATTTGCCTATACTGTATTTTTTTTATTTTTATTTTTTTTTTCATCAGTACCACGTCACTTTATTGGGATGTAAATGGTGGTAGTTTTTTGGTACAGATTATGAAAAGGTCAGATAACCAAAATATCCATGCACTAAAAGACAGTAGGAGTCACTCCCACAGTTCCCAAACGTGGGGGAAGCCAAGTGTGGCTCAGCTCTTGTTGTCACTGTCTCCAAGGGTGTGCTTGTCAAAAAGATATTCCGCCATGCCAGAATCGGGGGCCCCCACTTTGCGCAGGTTGGTTACGTGATCACCCACTTGTTTGATGGACTTTACCTGTTCGTCCAGGTAGCGGGTTTCGATGAAATCACATAAATGGGGGTCGTTCTTGTCAGTTGCCAGCTTGTACAATTCCAGTAAAGACTGACTGGCATTTTTCTCCAAGTGCAGAGCACACTCCATTGCGTTCAGCCCACTCTCCCAGTCATCTCGGTCTGGTTTCTTGATGTCCTGCAGGAAGATCCGACTGCCTCGCTGGTTTTGCAGTGTCATTAGCTTCTCAGCATGCTCCCTCTCCTCGTGGGATTGGTGAAGGAAACATTTGGCAAAGTTCTTCAGTGCCACATCATCTCGGTCGAAGTAGTAAGACATGGACAGGTAGATGTAGGAGGCATAGAGCTCCAGGTTGATCTGCCGGTTGATGGTGGCCTCCGAGTCCTGGTGGTAGTTCTGTGGCACCTGAGAGGGGAATGAGGTCATCATGGTGGCGGAGATGGCGAAAAGGAAGAGGAGGAGGAAGACGGCTGCACAGCGGCTGAGGCCGGGGGGGCAGCGACGGCGGGGGGTGGCTAAGGCAGGCGGCTGCTGCTCGAATGGGGTGGAGGTGAAGGTGGACAGGTGGCTAAGGGCGACTCCAGCCAGGAATCGAGCAGCAGGTTCCGTTCAAGCACTGTTGAAGCAGGAAACCGCAGCAACTCCCCTTCCCTGCACTTCTGGCCCTGGTTTTTTTTTTTAATTTTAGTTATTTTCTTCAGAATTTTTTTGTGCCTACTTCACCAAGCTGTTGACTCTTTTTTTCATGATTTTCTTGCATCACTATGATTTGTTTTTCCAACTTTTTCCTCTACCTCATTTATTTGATTCTTTAAAATCCTTTTTGAGCTCTTCCCTTTTCCCCTGCAGCCATAAGCTTTGGTGTGCTCATCAACCCAGGACTTCAAAGTGGATCAGAGTATGGTAATGCAACGGAGTCCTGGACCCAGTACCAGCAAAGAGATCACTGAAATCTTCTGACCAGTTGTCTGATTCTGGCTGCTTGCAGGCAATTCACTTGCCCCCAAGGACTTCTGCTGGTTTCCTGTGGTATGGCCTATACTAGCACTGGACTGTGCTCCATTCTCACCTGGTATGATAGATATTTCCTACTGACCTTCTAAGTTATCTTGGGCTGGAAAACCGTTTGACCCTGTCTTGTTTTGGGTTCTGCTACTCCAGAATTTGCTTTGAATTATTATTTTAAATTGTTTAGAGGGGAATTTGGGAGAGCTCAGCTCAGTGCTTTGCCTTTTCTCTGCCATCTTGGCTCTACCCCCCTAGTTTAACATTTGTTACAAATGAACAGCTAAAGAATGTGTCAATCTTATTGGGATGCTTTATATGTTTTAGTTCCTGCAATTCTTTGCTCGAATGTCTTAAAGTGTACTATAGCTACACCACACTGGACTGCCCTGAATTTACACAGTCTTCCTAGTACCTTACACAGAGTATCGGGTATCAAGTATTAATTTAAACATAACTTAATTATTTGCAACTGTTTTAATGTATTCTAATGAGCATCTATCCTGCACCAATCATACCGATTTCCGCTCCCATAGACCAACTGTAGGAATGTCCCTCTGAATCAATTTAGTTCAAAAGCATCTTTCCCTTAAAAGTGCCCTCCAGAAGAACTCAACAAGAAAAGAGGATGTAGTTAAATGTTCTTGTTAGTGACAACTCCTCCATTCCATCTCATAGCTATTTTAAGCATGAAAAGGGAGTTTTCATTAACAGATTTTTGTACTCTAAGGAACAAAGGAGGTCTGTAAATTCAAGGTCAGTCTGTTACTATTGATTCACAAGAGAAAGGGGGAAATACAAGAGTACCAGGACTACAGGGAAACAAAAATTAGTAATGGCTGAGAAGAGAATGAGATGAAAATAGTCTCAGAAGAAAAGGTGAGAGAAAAACAAAGGGGAAAAGAGCTGGGAAAAATTAGGGGTTTTCAATGTTTTTTAAAAAATATATAATTGAAACAAAACCCAAACTTACTATGATGGTAGCATGGCTGCACGATAACAAATGTAAAGATTTAAATAGAGATACATAAGCATATCTTGACCCATATCCTTGAATGTAATCATTTTGATCTCAATTATAAGCTAAAAGGTCGAGTCACTGAAAAAAGTTACTGACTATAATTTAGTATTAGAATTTATGGTTCCTTGACAGAATATAATTAAGTGCCAAATGCATTTACAACTTAGAAAATTAAGTCATATGTCACTTTCCAAAAGACAAATGATTCTGAGGGATGAAGAGATCTTCAAATAAATACAATAATTAAGCTACATATGACAATAGACAAAATTACACACAATGATGGATTCACAGATTACCACAGTCCAACCTGTTTGAATTGGCTTGTTTAGACACGGCCTTCAATCTTTTCAATGTTTTTCTAACTGTATCAGCATCAGAAGAATGGTGATGACCTGCAGCCCCATTAGGAAATCCTGGACGTATTCCAGGAGGAACACCTCTGTAGATAAATATGCACAGTGATTTTCATTACTTTAATCTGGAGCAGAGCAGATTCAACATCACTAAAACATAACCATACCTTTCAGGAAGGCAATGGCGATGTATTTCTCCTTTCCACCTAGCCTCTCTGTCTTCCGCTCTTTGTTGCTGCATTTGATCAAAAATAGCATGGTAATGTTCATATGGTGCTCGGGAAGGAAAAGGACCTGGTGCCATTGCCCTTCTACCACCAATATAGGAAGCCTGGAAATGAAACAAAGTGCTTTCATAGTCTTTTGTCTTTTTTTATTTCATATGTATCATGAACCCAAAGAATAAAACATATTAATTTAAATAGATGCCTTTTCAAATAGAATTTATTAACTTAAAAGATGATAATACTACATAATATTCTATAGTTTTCCTTTAACATTACAAAATACTCAAAAACATGGTAGTTTCCTCTGTAACAATGACAATGAATTTTTGGTATACTTTGTGTACTAATAAAAATATATTAGCAAAATAAATTAAAAGGAATATGATAAATACATGCATAGAACTATAGGTAAATTCTAATAAAATGTTCCCCCGAATACTTAAGTGCATAGTAGTTTTCCAATGACAATGATAATGCATTTTTTAGTTTACACTGTGAACCAATAAAAATAGATGAACAATAATGTATCAAATACATATATAGTAATTACAGGTAAATTTTATTAAAATGTTTCCAAATGGAGGTTAAAACAATGAAGATAACATTCACTTGCAATTAGCAACACTGCATGCATATAAAAATCAATGGATTAAAATTATTTAACAGTCCTTTCTTTAATAAGGGATATAAAAGAAATACAAGACAAAGTTCCTATCCTCAAGAAACTTGCAGTGTACTTGGAAAGATTACACACGGTATAAGTGAACAATAATGTGGCACAGAATGTAAAATAGGTGATGAGGAAATACCCAATGCTAGAGAAAGATTATGGCAGAAAATGTTAATAACTGAATGCTTTCTAGAAGAAGTTAATCTTGAACTGGGTTTGAATAGTAAGGAAGAAGAAAGAGGACCTTCTAGGTAACAGAACAAAATAAGATAAGATATTGAAATGAAAAGTATCAAGGTAGGTGTCTGAGGTAGAAAGGGAAGAAAGGATGAATGGTAATGAGATTGGATTGGTTAAGGTATATTGGAAAGCAATGAGAAATGTAGTTGGATTTCAGTATCAGGATAAAGGGCTTGGATTTGAATTTGATATAAGTGAAAGAGCACTGGTCATAAGAGTCAGGAGAGATCTGGGTTCAAGTTCTGTATCTGACAGTTCTTAGCTGTATGCTCACAGATGTAATTCAATTTCTCTTCTACCATTTCTTCATCCATAAAACAGGAATAATAATATCTAGAAATATGTATCTCATAAGTTTTTCTTTATAAATCTCAAAACACTGTATAAATGTCAACTTTTAATATTACCTGGGAAGCCAAAGCAGACTTTAAAGTGAAAACAGTATATGAGGGAGATCAACCTTTTACTGCTGTGCTAGATCCACCACAAATCAGACACTATGCCAAGGGAAAGCAGCTCTATTGGGAAGATCTAAACTAAAGGGTTGGTTGGGGAATACAAAGAACTGTTGAAGAGTGATAAAGAATTGGCAGTACTGGGATACTGATTAGACATATAGGAAGAAGTGTTTTGATTCCTAGTGTTTGGGAAAATTACGGTGCTGCTTACAAAAATTAAGATCAATTAAGAAGAAGTTATAAGCTAAGGGAAGAAGGAAGTAAGATTTCAATTCCTGACACATTGTCTGAGGTATCAGAAAGCCATTCCTTTAATTGGAGCTGATAACTATATTTATCTGGAGATCTTAGAGATGAAGACAATGTAGACTCTCAGGGCTGGAAATGTACTTTCAGAAGCCATCACAAAAAGGTGAAACTTGGAAGGCTGGAAGAAGTTCTTTATCAGTTCTTTACAATACTAGAAGTCACTTCTTTATAATACTAAAAAGAGAGAAGAGTAGAGAGGTACAGTCCAAAGTGTGGAAAGATAAAGCAAGGGACGATGTGAGGTTAGTCAAATAGGTATGATACAAACAAAAAGAGTATGATGTCACAAAATGAAGGAAAGAGAGGTTCAAGCGGGAAATGGTCTAAATAATGTCAAACAAAGCAGAGATCACGAAAGACAACAAATGAGAAGAGGGAAGAGAATTTAGATAGGAGGTCACAAATGGAGTTCTAAGGAGAGGTACCAGGAGCCACATTATGGAAGATCACCTTAAGAGTTTAACTATGGAAGTTAAGTATAGTGTTCCAATTTTAGGTTTAATAACATTCTTTTTCACTTATTTTAAACTTATAAATATAAAAACAATCATTTCCATATTCAAAGAACAGAAAAAGAACTGGAGATGAAAACTGTGAATCTGTATGTACAGCTTGCTTTAAAAAAATTTATAATATATTTGACAGTGTCATTCAAATATTGTCTTGCTGATATCTCTCTGAAATTCATGCTCTCTTCTGTGTTATTTATAAACATTTCATTAATTTTTTTCCCCTGGCATCACTATAACTCTCCTTGGTCCCACTCCCCAACTAAAAATAAAGGCATTCATTCTCTTATGTCAAACTAGTATAAAGTCAAGCAATAAGAGTTTTCACACTGGCTGTATCAGAAAACACATCCCCTCTCTACACCTCTTGTTCATAACTTCCCTGTCAAGACTGGAGGGATAGGAATATGAATCTATATTCTGGACATAAGCTGCTTGTGGCACTGGTAAGGTTCTTAAGTCTTTCAAAATTGACAATGCTAGAGTTATCATATTGCTTTCTTAATTTTATTTACTTCACTTTCCATCTGTTTATACATTTGTTGTGAATTCTCCTTTTTAATTTTTGATACATGTAATCTGATATTCTTATTCTTTAAAAACCAAATTAGGATACGGTTTGTCTATTTTACTATTACTCCACTCAAAAAAACCCAATTCTTATTTTTATTTTAATTCAAATTTTTTTCTTTCAAATTTTATAAATTGCTTCTTTCATTTTCAGAAATTCTATTTTGGTGTTTAATTGGGGTTTTAAAATATATTTTTCTAGTTTTGTTTGGTTACGTGCTAAAGTCATCTATCTATTCTTTTTCTCTTTTATTAATGGAAATATTGAGATACACAAATTCTCCCACTGCTTTAGCTGCAGCATAAAGATTCTGTATATTGTTTCATTACTGTCATTTCCCCCTCACTAATTATCTATCGTTTCTATGACTTGTTCTTTCATCCACCAATTCGTTAGGATCAAATTAGTCTCTAATTTTTAATACCTGATCTTTCAATAGGCCTTTATTAAATGCAAATTTTATTGCATCCAATCAGTAAAGTATGTGCTTAATATTGTTCTTTTTCTTCATTTGGCTGTGAGACTTTACTAGCGCCAATCAGCAATCACCAAAGAGCTACCACATTTAATTTTTATAAAATTCTATTAGGTCTTTAACGTTTCTTATTTTCTTTTAAAATTTTTCTAGCTGTAAAAGGGTTACTTTGAGGCCTCCCACTATTAGAGTTTTACTACCTAGTTCTCTCTGAAATCTATTTATTCTTCTAAGTATCTATATGAAAAGCTATCCTGTGCAAATATAAAATTTTAAAAAAATTTTAACATTTAATTTTCCTCCAATCACATGTAAAATCAATTTTTTAAACATTCATTTTAAAAAATTTTTGAGTTCCTAACTCTTTCTTTCTTTCTCTCCCCCCTCATTGAGAAGGCAAGCAATTTTACATAGCTTATACATGTGCAGTCATGCAAAACATATTTCCATATTAATCATATTGTGAAAGAAAACACAGATGAAAAAACCTCCTAAGAAAAATAAAGTACAAAAAACTATGCCTCAATCTGCTTTAAGATTCTATCAGTTTTCTACATCTTCTCCAACATTTATCATTTACTTGTTTTGTCATGTTAGCCAATCTAATAGGTGTGATGTGGTACCTCAGAGTTGTTTTGATTGGCATTTCTCTAATCAACAGTGATTTGGTTCATTTTTTCATATGACTATAAATAGCTTTAGTTTCTTCGTCTGAAAATTGACTGTTCATATCCTTTGGCCATTTATCAATTGGGGAATGCTTTGTATTCTTATAAATTTGACTCTGTTCTCTATATATTTTAGAAACAACGCCTTTATCAGAGACACTGGTTGTAAAAATTCTTTCCCAGTTTTCTGCTTCCCTAATAATCTTGGATGCATTGGCTTTCTTTGTGCAAATTCACTGAAGAGAAGACCTATTTAAATAGCATAATTGGCCAAACGGAAAATAATTCTTTAAAAAATTAGAATTGAGGGGCAGCTAGGTGGCGCAGTGGATAGAGCACCAACCCTGAAGTCAGGAGGACCTGAGTTCAAATCTGTCCTCAGACCAAACACTTGACACTTACTAGTTTTGTGACCTGGGCAAGTCACTTAACCCCAATTGTCTAAAAAAAAAAAGCAGACTTGGCCACATGGAAAAAGATACATCGAAATTCAGTGAAAGGAAGAACTCCTTAAAAAGCATAATTGGCCACATGGAAAAAAGATATATGAAAATTCACACTGAAGAAAAGAAAGCTCATTGAAGAAAATCTTTAAAAATTGAAATTGTGCAACTTGAAGCTAACGACTCCATGAGACATCAAGAAGCAATAAAGCAAAATCAATTCTTGGCCAACACAAAAAACCTGCTATAAATATTTTTGTACATGTGAGTCTTATGGAAGTGAATGTTGAAAACTAAAAATACATAAATTAATCATTTAAGAAAAAGAAATTATGAGTAGGATGCTCTCAGGAAAACCTGGAAAGACTTGCATGGGCTGATGCAAACTGAAATGCATTGTGTGCAAAGTAACAGCAATATCATAAGATGACTAGCTGTGAATGACTTAGCTATTCTCAGCAATACAATGATCCAAGACAACTCTGAAGGACTTATGATGAAAAATGCTATCCATCCCCAGAGAAGGAACTGATGGTGTTTGAATACATATTAAAGCATACTTTTTTTTTAAACTTAAAAAAAATTGGGTCCATTACTTGAAATAGACATAGAAGAATTTGCTAGGTTCCTAAGGAAGACCCCCACAGGACCATATCTGTATCTGACAAGTTTGACCATCTCCTTCATTAATTGTTATTACTAATAAAATTTGTTGTTCAGTCATGTCCAAATCTATGGGATTACATGGACTTTGTCCATGGAGTTTTCTTGGCAAAGATACGGGAATGGTATCCAGAGAAAAAACAACAGCATCTGAATACAGATCAAAGCATACTATTTTCACCTTTTCTTTTGTTCCTATGTTTATTTTTTCTTTCTCGTGGTTCTTCCCTTTTGTTCTGATTCTTCTATCACAATACAACTAATGTGGAAATATGTTTAACATCATTCTACATGTTAACCATGAAGATAACCAAGATTAGATGGCTTGCTGTCTTGAGGACGGGGGAGGGAAGAAATGGAGGGAGAAAAATTTGAGACTCAAAATCTTATAAAAATAAATGTTGAAAACTAAAAAAAAGTTCTTCTCATTAGATTTTTCTGCCTCTTTTACCATTTGATCTATTCTGTTTTTTAAGATGTTTTTTTTTCAGCATTTACCAAGTTGTTGACTCCTTTTTCATGATTTTTTTGCATCACTGTGATTTGTTTTCCCAATTTTTTTCCCTGTACCTCTTTTATTTGATTATTTAAAATCTTTTCTGAGCTCTTCCAGGAATTCCTTTTGGGCCTAAGACCAATTTACATTTTTTTTGAGCCTTTGTATGTAGCAGTTTTGACTATGCTGTCTTCTGAGTTTGTTTTGCTCTTCTCTGTCACCATAGTAACTTTCTACAATTAGGTTCTTTTTTTTTTTTTTTTGTCATTTGCTCATTTTCCCCAACCTATTTCTTGAGTTTTACCTTTACATGTTAAAATTTGGCTCTGCTCCTTGGGTGGAGGGGGCACTGTCCCAAGCATCAGGTTTTTTTGTGCAGCTGTTTTCAGAACTACCTTGGGGGTGGGGGCATTACGTTTTCAGTTCTTCCAAGGTGGTATGGTCTAAGGAGAAGTATGTTCACTACTCTCCTGGCCTCTGCTCTGGTCTTTGTACTTCCACAAGCATTCTTTTCCACCCTATAAGTGTGATCAGGGAGTCTGCTCCCTTGTGCCTAAAATTTCTGTTCCTTTTAGTCAATTACAAGAAGACAAAGAGGTGGTATATTGTGGAATATCATTTGCGTAATCCTGTTTTTTCCCTCCTGATATCCTCATGGAGGATATCTTCACCAAATTTCATATAATTCTCATTACAATTTTATATAAATAGCAAAGTAGGCAAATGTGTTAGCATTGTTGTAGTTCACTCAATAGCCTTGTTTCAGTATAAAGACCAAGATTTTTTCTATGCCTTTGATATCTTTTCTTCCTTCAGATAACCTGTACATTAATTCCTCAATGCTCTCACAACTGTGTCTTCTCTAACATCAATTATGCTGCATAAACTCAAATGAACCTTCACTCTAGCAAGGTAATCCTTCTGCAGTTTCCTTACCCAAGATCCCACTCACCACATTACCTTCTCCAGATCTTTTCATCTCTCAAACTTCTCAGAGCTCCCTCTCCCTTACCCTTTCAGCTGAGAACCCTCTCTCATATGTCACTGAAAAGAACTAAGACCATGTCATTTCCCTATGCAATAAACTCCAGGGGCTTCCTATCACCTTCAGGATCAAATATAAAATGCTTTCTTTGGCTTTTAAAGCTCTCCATAACCTGGACCCCTCCTACCTTTCCAGTGTTCTTACACATTACTTTCCTCCGAATATTTCACAGTCCTATAACGCTGGCCTCCTGGCTGTCCCTTGAATACAACAATCCATCTCTAAACTCGGAGAATTTTCACTTGTTGTCTCATGCCTGAAACACTCTCGTTGCTCATCTCTACCTCCTTGCTTCCCTGGTCTTTCAAAGTTGCAGAAAATAGTCTTACTTCCTAAAAGAAGCCTTTCCCAATCCCCCTTAAGGATTATCTCCAATATGTGCTGTACATGTCCTGTTTGTGTATAGTTGTTTGCATGTTGTCTTCCCATTAAATTGTGAAGCTTCATGAAAGCAGGGACAATCTTTTGCCTTCTTTTGTATCCTCGGCATTTAGGATAATGCCTGACACATAGTAAGAGCTTAATAAATTTGTTTTGACTGCCTGAAGACTCAGTTTCTTGTTCATTTGATTAAGAGGTCTCAGGATATTGATTAATTCCTTTGCATTCCTTGTATGAATCCTACTTGGCAGAAATGAATACTTTTAATGTATTTTGGTATTTTTATTGCCAATGTTTTATTTAATGATTTTTCATCCATATTCATTAATGCCATTGCTTTTTGGTCCTTTTTTAGCATATACATTTCCAGTTCTATTGATCAGAATCATAGTTCCTTCTAAAAAAGAATGGTTCCATTTTTGACTTTGTATTGCCAGCACATTATCCACAACCTAATACTTATTGATCAATTATAATAAACTAGAATATAGTTTCTCTATATAACCAAATGAGATAATATATACAAAGTACTATATAAATACTCTTTATCTTTACATTTAGCAACAGTCCAGGCAATACATATTATGATCTATTAAAGTTTGGATGAGTTCACTTAGCAATCCAGATGACATCTTTTTTGAGAAAATAGTTTATTTATTAATAGTTTATCTCCTGAAAATGGTCTGTTTTATAATTTTAGATATTTGATACTCTTCCAGATTGTAGAGGTCTTTTTTAAGCCCTATAACTTATTAAGATTCAATTTTAATAAGTAAAAGAGACATATTTAATAATAACAAAATTAATAATGATAAATAAACATTTCTAGGTAGAGTATGTTGTTATTCCAATAGATTTGCCAACTTGACTACACTAATTTTTTACATTTTTTACATTTCTTCTTAATTTTTAATACAAAGGATAGAGGTTAGAGGAAAAGGAGGAGGAGGCATTATCGGTAATAGTGATGCCAAAAGAAAAAAGGGCTCTTAAAACTTTTTTTTTAAGGCAACTGGGGTTAAGTGACTTGCCCAGGGTCACACAGCTAGTAAGTTTCAAGTGTTTGGTCTGAGGCTGGGATTTGAACTCAGGTCCTCTTGACATCAGGGCCAGTACTCTATCCCTGCTCCACCTAGCTGCCTCTTAAAACATTTTTTAAAACATACAGAATATAGCAGAAGCAAGTTTGGAAGTAAGCAAATGTTAAGAAGTCAAGATCCCCAAGGGGAAGCTAGGATATTTAATACTGTACTAAAAGAGTGAGTTATCATATAAACCAAGTTAAAAAAGACAAGAGTAATATGAGATATCTATTTACTACAGGCCTCCCAAGCACGGTTTCTAGAAATGTCACCATTTTCACATATCAACAAATAAAAATAAAACAATTTTAGAAGTAAATATACCTAGCCAAGACAAAGAGACCTTATGATATCTGAAGGATTAACTGCGAATCTATCATGAGTATGTTTTTATTTACCAATGGAAGTAATCAATAGAGGCATTATATTATAGGACTAAATTTTAACTATAATTTCATAATTATCAGAATAAATATTAACATCTACTGCCTACCTTAACTTCACCACTTCCACCACAACTTAGAACACTTCTCCATCCTTGTTCCCTGGCCCTATTTATTCGCTCCATCTTTAAGGAAAAAAAAAAGAGCCATTTCAAGTATTTTGTTTAAGAAGCAAATGTTACATATGAAGTAAAAATGGATTCCTGAAGAAAAACATATTACAGAAAAATAAAGGAAATTTTATCCTTACCCTTTCCTTCTCTTGTCTTTTCATATGTTCTTGTTTCAATAAACTAATCTGTAACAATTAAAAGATAGTCTCTTTAGACCATTTGAAATACAGTACATTGAATATATCAGTAAAGCAAGAAAAAAATAAACCTAAGTCTACCTGTTCCCTTTGTTTTTTTTCTTTTTCATGATATTCCAACCTTCTCCTCCTTGCTAACTCCTTAAAGGGAAATAAAGTATTATTTTAGTCACTATATTAATTCCTTCTTTTATATTTTCATCAGGAAGGTTAGTACTCCATTAGTAGAAGCATCCGTTAAAGGTTTTTGGTGGAAAGAAATAAGGAGGAAAGGTTTTGAGGTTTAATTTTGTACTGCAAGGATTTTTAGTTGTTTAAAAATTACTTAAATGGCTTGAAAATAAGCAATAGTTGACTTTATACCTCTAACATTTTCCTCCTTTCTTCTCCAGGATTCACTTTCTTCAAAGGAGTTTGTTGGGCCTGGACAAAAAGCGAAGCTAAAAATTAGATAAAGAGTATGAACGCATATTTTATAAACGCCAAGGTATAATAAGATAAACCAAAAGAAAATGCCAAAGCCAACTTTGATAAAATTCTGTTTCATAATATAATTTTCTTTAATTGAACTTAATATATTTCCTGTGGATCAGAAAAACACAATTAGATGCCAAAAGCTTTGAAAAAGTTATTTCCTGATAAGTAGATTCTGGGAAGATGGTGGAACAGGTCACAAAAACTTAAGCTCTCAAGATTTTCCCCCACAAGAGCTAAAATAGGCCTCAGGGCAAATATAAAGGGGTAAAAATAAACAAGAGTAGGGCCTTAAAGAGGTCCTCCTGAGACAATCAGAAAAGATCTGAAGAAAAATCCCAGGATGTGGTTTGGTCCCTCTAGGCTAGGCCCACTTAAACAGCAAGCCATAAGCCCCTGGGGTTAGCTGGGTGGGGAGACTGCCTCAGCCCCAGCCACAAGAACTTTTATCCCTGGGACAATGAAGGGGAGGTGGGCCTCTAAGCTGGGGAAGATCAAAGGAACCTCTGCTGACAAGGAATGCCAGACCCAGCTGTGCTGTGGAGACATGGCTGAGGTAAGATGGAACCAGCACAAGCTCGCCCAGGGAGTGCAGAAGCAGCGGGGCGGGACACTGCTGGTTGTGGGCACTTAGGAGGCTGCAGAACTTAAGGAAGATCTAAGGCCAAAGGCACCATCCCCCACATCCCAGGGCTACAGGTGATTGCAAAAACTAAGCTGCTACAAATAACAAAAAATGAATAGGCAAAGGAGAAAGAATCCAAACATAGAGAATTACTATGGGAATAGAAAAGACAAGGGTTCATCTTCAGAAAGCAATACTGAAACAAAACCCTCTTCTACCCCAAAGAGTAACATCAAATGGTCACCTGTCCAAAAAGAATCCAGAGAAGAACTTAAAAAAGATTTCAAAAATCAAATGAGAGAGACTGAGGAAAAACTTAGAAAAAAAAAAAATCCAAGAAAAACAACAGAATTATGAAAAGAAAGTCAACCAATTAGAAAAGCAGATCCAGAATCTTAAGTAAGAAAATGACTCTTTGAAAATCAGAACTGGGCAAGGGGTGGCCAGTGACATTATAAGAGATCAAGAAATAATAAAACAAAATATAAAGAATGAAAAAATAGAAGAGAATGTGAAACATCTCATAAGAAAAATAACTGATCCGGAGAACAGATCAAGCAGAGAAAACATTAGAATAATTGGACTACCTGAAAGTTATGATCAGAAAAAGAATCTTGATACAATAATACAAGAAATAATTAAAGAAAATTGTCCCGAAGTGTTAGAACAAGAGGGAAAAAATCCACTGATCACTACTTCAAAGAGATCCTATGAGGAAAACCCACAGGAATATCATAGTCAAATTATGAAACCCCCAGCTCAAGGATAAAATATTACAAGCAACAAGAAAAAAAAATTAAATATGGCAGTGCCACAATTAGAATCACAAAAGACCTAGTAGTGGTGACACTAAAAGACTACAGATCTTGGAACACTACATATCCAAGATCAAATGTACTGGACTTGCAGCCGAAAATATCATGCTCAGCAAAGCTAAGCATAATCCTGAATGGAAAAACAACAACAGCAATAATAACAACAACAACAACAATAACAAAATGGACATTTAATGAATTGTCAGGCTTTCAGGACTTTGTTAAAAACAAAAAACAAACAAAAAAACCCCTTAGTATTTGGTATACAAGCTTTCTTGAAATGGCAATATACTGCTATATATTTTAAATCTCTTATGTTCTGCTGTGCACGACATGCTTCTTTTTCTGATTTCGTATATAAGTTTCAATATTTAAGTTTATAATGATTCCTTTTCTTTTCTCTATTATGTATATTAGTTTTAGTATTTAAGAAAAAAAAAAGAAAAAAAGAAAAAAGTTATTTCCTAATAGTCAATAAAACTAATTGAAGATAGCAGATTAGAGGCAACCCGGCTGAACTCTCTCAACATTCCTTTCCAAACAACTTCAAAATACTGCCTTAAACCAAATATTAAAGCACCAGAGCCAACAAAAAGTCAGGGTAAGGCATTTTTCTGGTCTACAAAAACTTAAATGGTTGGCAAGAGAAATTTGTGACACCAAGGTGGAAGTCTGTCTAGAGATCATAATCATGGCAGCAACAACAGTAGCAGCTTTGGGAGCTCTCAGCCCAGAGATGGTTAGGGGTTCAGACAACTAGACAGAAAGAGATTACAGGAGACCCTTTGCTGGCACTGGGTATAGCTGGAAATACTATTGCATATACACAGTCCTGGGCTGCAGTTCCAGGGTGGAGAGGAACACTGGGGACTGATCACAAGGGAGCAAGCATTCTGGTCACAATTCCAAGTCAGAGAGAACACTAGTACTTGTGGTTGCAAGAGACCAATGTCTCTTCCTGGGTAAAGATCAGACTTCAGGCCAGTGACCACATCCTACATCACACAACCTTGGAAGCGCCAAAAACTTACAGACTCACAGAACTACCTCTGAATATAGAAGCATGAAAGAAGCTGAAGCTTGGGACAACGCCTTCTCACCCTACGTGAGCAGAGGCCCAACATAAAGTTCAAAGTCAAAAAATAGGCTGGAAAATATAACCAAACAACAACAACAACAAAAAAAAGATAATTTGACCATAAAAAGCTACTACACATGGAAGACCAAGATATAAACTCAGAAGAAGACAATAAAGTGAAAAGAGTTACAAAGCCTCAAAGAAAAATGTTAACTGGACCCAACCCTAACAAGATTTCCTGAGTTAAAGAAATAAGAGTGATAATGGAAAAATTGGGGAAAGAAATAAGAGTGATGCAAGAAAACTATGAAAAGCTTGAAAATGATGCAGTTTAGGGGTTCAGGGGTCCTGGGACCCCAATATCACAACACGCAGGTGCTGCCCAAAAGAATTCGACCCAAGCCTTCTTTCAGCCAAAGACAAGGTTTATTAGAACACTGTCATATTGGGCAGACTCTTAAGGAGTCTGAACATGAGTGAGCAGTGGCTAGATTTTAAGAATCTCAGCAGTAGCTAGATTTTAAGAATCAGAGCTGTGGCTAGATTATAAGAATCTAAGCAGTGGTTGATTATAAGAATCTCAGCAGTGGCTAGATTATAAGAATCTCAGCAGTGGCTAGATTATAAGAATCTCAGCAGTGGCTAGATTTTAAGAATCCTAGTATCTTAATGGAGACAAGATGGACCTTATATACAGAAAGCCTGTGGGAGGGATCTGGGAGTGGCCAAGTAGTCTATGAGGTAATTCCAGGGAATTCCAGGGAAATGGAGCCTAGATAGGACCAAGGGTGGGAAGTGGCCTGGGGCCAGAGGGAGGCAAGACAATGGAGAAGAGATTGGGTGTAGCCACAATGAAAGGCCAGGTGATGGGATTATAGCCTCAGGCAAACGCCAGAGATTTGGCCTTGTGGGAAAGACCAGGGTTTTTCCTTTCTGGGGCCCAGATCCCAACCCCACCAGTAAGAATTGCTGATGGAGTAGTGAACCAGTCCAAACACTGTGGAGGATAATCTGGACCTATACCCAAAGTGCTATAAAACTGTGCATGCCCATTGACTCAGCAACTCCACTAAGTCTGTATCCCAAAAAGATTTAAAAAAAAAAAAGGAAAAGGACCTATTTGTACAAAATATTTATAGCAGCTCTTTTGTGGTGGCAAAGAATTGGAAATCAAGGACAGGGTCATCAATTGGGGAATGGCTGAACAAGATGTGGCATAAAATTGTGATGAAATACTTTTGTGCTGTGGGAAATATGGAGGGGGGTGTTTCAGAAAACACAACAAGACATATATGAACTGATGCAAAGTAAAGTGAGAAGAACTGAGAGATCACTGTGCACAGTAACAGTAATGTTGTAATGTTAATCAACTCTGAAAGACTTGGCTACTCTGAACAATACAATGAGCTAAGACAATTCTAAAGGGCAGGGGCAGAATCACAGAATAGAGATGAACTGAGGCACTTAGGAATAAGAGTTTGGGAAGATACACTAGCAAAGATATAAGAGTTTCAGCTCATTTTTTTTTTCCAATTTAAAAAGATACCCTACTGAATCACAGGGACAAATGAGGAGAGGAATTTGAAGAGGAGGGAAGAATAGCCCCATACCACACAGGGGTCTATAATGAATCAGTACAGAGAAGTGGTGTCAGTTTCCGGGTTAGCCATTCTAAACGAACATAGGGGAGGTGGGGGTGGAGGCAGCAAGGAATTCCACTTGGGTATACTCAATTCTTCAAAAGGACCTCTGATCTCACTGATGTTAAGTATTCCTTTCAAAATGTGCAGATCAAAAAACATTCATTCCTCATCCTGTATGGTTCTTGTCCATATCCTTCTGTAAATACCTTATGGAAGCTGCACTCAACGTTATAGGGGCCTTCCACAAGGTCTTCTGACATTAAGTAGATACAAAATGTACTCCATATATGTCTCTTTTTTTTTTTTGCTTCTTTTTAAAAAAAGTTTTATTAATTTATTTTGATTTATCAACAATCACTTCCATAAGCTTTTGAGTTTTAAATTTTTCTCCCCCTCCCTCCCCAAGACAGCAATCTGATATAGGCTTTACATATACATTCCTATTAAACACATTTTCACATTAGTCATGACATAAGTAAGAATCAGAACCAACAGGAGGAACCACAAGAAAGAAGAAACAAAACAGAAGAAAAAAATGTATGCTGCAATCTGCATTCAAATTCCATAGTTATTTCTTTGGATGTGGATAGCATTTTTCATCATGAGAACTCTGGAGATGTCTTGGATCCTTGCATTGCTGAGGATGGCTAAGTCTATCAAAGTTAGTCATCACACAACATGGCTGTTACTGTGTACAGTGTTCTCCTGGTTCTGCTCACTTCACTCAGCATCAGTTCATGTAAGTTTTTTCCAGGTTTTTCCGAAATCTGCTTGCTCATCATGTCTTACAGCACAATAGTATTCCATTACATTCATATACCACATCTTGTTCAGCCATTCCCCAATTGATGGGCATCCCCTCAATTTCCAATTCTTGGCCACCACAAAAAGAGCAGCTATAAATATTTTTCTACATGCGGGTCCTTTTCCCATTTTTATCATCTCTTTGGGATACAGCCCTAGAAGTGCTATTGCTGGGTCAAAGGGTATGCACATTTTTATAGCCCTTTGGGCATAGTTCCAAATTGCTCTCCAAAATGGTTGGATCATTTCATAACTCCACCAACAATGCATTAGTGTTCCAATTTTCCCACATCTTCTCCAACATTTATCATTTCCCTGTTTTATCATGTTGGCCAATCTGATAGGTGTGATGTGGTACCTCAGAGTTGTTTTGATTTGCATTTCTCTAATCAATAGTGGTTTAGAGCATTTTGGCTTTAATTTCTTCATCTGAAAACTGCCTGTACATATCCTTTGACCATTTATCAACAGGGGAATGACTTGTATTCTTATAAATTAGCCTTAATTTTCTATACATTTTAGAAATGAAGCCCTTATCAGAGACACTGGTTGTAAAAATTCTTTCCCAGTTTTCTGCTTCCCTCCTAATCTTGGTTGCATTGGCTTTGTTTGTGCAAAACTTTTCAATTTGTAATCAAAATTATTCACTTTGCATTTCATAATGTTCTCTGTCTCCTGTTTGGTCATAAATTCTTCTGTTCTCCATAAATCTGATCACTGATTTTTACAGATGATATGTTTCATGTAGCAATCCCTAAAAAGTCAACTAAACAATTAATTGAAATAACTTCAGCTAAGTATAAGGATATAAAATAAACTCATGTATACTAGCAACTTTTTTTTTTGGCACATTGCCAACAATGAGCAGTAAAAGATAAAGTTCAAGCTAAATAACTACAAAATATGTAAAACAGGGGGTGGCTAAGTAGCACAGTGGATAGAGCACTGGCCCTGGAGTCAGGGGTACCTGAGTTCAAATCAGGCCTCAGACACTTGACACTTCCTAGCTGTGTGACCTTGGGCAAGTCACTTAATCCTGATTGACTCACCAAAAAAAAAGAAAATTGTTTTTTCTTGATATATTAAATTTCATACTCCACTTCTTTGATACCTTTTAGAGTACAACTGTGTATACCAAAGGTACACCAGTTCAATACCTTCCTTTTATAGAGGAAGAGCTGTGTACTAGAGGTTAGGGGACTTGATCAAGGTCACATGAGTCATAAATGGCAGAGATGGATTTGAATCCAAGTACTCTGATTCTAAATCCAGCAATCTTTCAATGGCAAGCACTAGGCATCTCTCACCATTGCTCACTGAGTACTCTATAATTTTGAATCCTCAAATTTCAAACTATTAGCAATTAAATGAAATCTCACACTTTTACATGAAATCTCATAAAACACTAAAGTGTTATAAATAGGAACCAGCTCTATCACCCATGGAACATAGCACTGGTGGTAGTCAGGGTATTTTTTGCAGAATAAGCAATGAATAAGACCAGGTAGGGACCCAGTAAACTTAACTCTAACTCTGTCATGGCTAACAAAAGGTTTTACTAAGACTGTTTAACTACCAAATTCCTCTAAATTCTCACAACAACTTTTGATATTGGGCTACTATGAGCTAGTGAAACCCGGTTTGACTGATGCAGTCCTGACCTCCAGGATACATCTATACTAAGGTTCATCTGTCCCAGAGATGGGGCAGTGTCCCTTTTGAGGTCTCTTGCATGCTGCAACAGAGTTAGAGTTAAGTTTCCTGGGTCCCTGGGGCAGCTGGGTGGTGCAGTGGATAGAGCCCTGGGCCTGGAGTCAGGAGGACCTGAGTTCAAATCCAGCCTCAGACACTAGCTGCGTGACCCTGGACAAATCACTTCATCCAGTTTGTCTCAGTTTCCTTATCTGTAAAAAGCACTGGAGAAGGAAATGGCAAATCACTTCAGTACCTTTGCCAAGAAAACCCCAAATGAGGTCATGAAGGACATGACTAAACAACAACAACAAATTTCTAGGTCCCTGTCCTACTTGATTCATACATACCTGAGGTGCTCTCCCCACTGCTGTAGCACCCATGGGACCCTCTATCATCTACAAGTATTACAAAGTATGTACAACTCTGTAATTTTCTTAACCCTTCCAAAACCCCATCTAGAAATGAGACAGGGGGCAAGGAGCAAAGAACATACTCTCATTTCCACATTCCCCATCCAGAAGATCACAATTGCAAGCTCTTTGAACTCAGCCAAAACTGCAGCAAAGATTAGGGTCTAGACGTATCCCTCCCTTCCAGGAATGGGGGCAGTGTGGAGTTTTGTCCTGGAACAGTGTAACAGCTAGTGTTTGCAGGAGGGTGCAAAGTTTGGCTCTAATACAAAGTCCCTGGAAACAAAGACTTCCAGGATATCAAGAGATATGAAAATGCATCTACCTTCCTTACTTACAAAGAAAGGGGACTATGGGTATGAAATATCACATTTAATATCACACTTAATTGATGTGCTTGTTAGTTTTGCTAAATTTTTTTTAACTCTTTGAATCTTTAAGAGTTGGCTGTCCGAGAAAAGAAAAAGGGATATGATGGGGAAAAGCAATGTAAAAATAAAAGACAAATAAGAACTAAAAAAATAAATGTTAACAATGCTGTTTATTATCATAGTTATACCTGTTTGTATCTTGACGGTGGCTTCTTTTCATGGACTTTTTTAGGCATTTCCACCACTTTCTTATGTGTTAAAGGCACCCCATATTTTGCGGCAGGTTTTGTAATTTTCTGTGCTGGAGCAGGAGATGCAAAGATCTGTCCCTGAGCTGGTCTTTTGGCTATATAAGAAAACACAAAGACACAAATTATGAAAAAAAAAATCTTTTTTTAGGTACTCTTACCATAATTTTAAATAAAATCCTTTCAGCTTGTAATTCTTGAGTTTTAATCATTTAATTTCTAACCTTTCTTATCAAACACCTCTAAGACCCCTTTACTCTGAAAATATAATTGCTTCCAGTTCAACTAAATCAATCTAAAGCCATAAACACAAAAACTCAAACACCCAATGCCAAGTACAGGGGCTGGAACATTTAGTTAAGCACTTAATAATGAAAGATGATGATGAGTGTTCTCTTCTAACAACAAAACCAACATACCTCACATGAGGAAAATATTCAGGTAAATAAACATCAAATTCCAATAGAGAGGACAATTTACCAAACCAAAGCAATCAGCTACTAACCTAAAAAAACTAACTATCTGTAGTGTTCTTAAACATTAATTGCATAATTAGTAACAACTATGACAATTTCAAAAAGATGAATTAGTGCAGATTAAGATTTGCAGCTAAAGAATAGAGACTCTAAAAAAAAAAATAAAGATTCTCAATTAAATCTACCTCAATACTTGTTGAAGGAAAAGCAACTGAATGGATTGGTGATTTCACCAATTCAGGAATTCCCTCAGACAATGCAGCTAGAACTTATTTACACCTGGCTATCAAGTATGACTCTTATCCACGTGCTACCAGAAGTTTGCTAGAGGACAGTAACTCAAGGTACAGGAGATCTTGCTTTCTTCAAAACCACAGGGGTGCCAGTGGAGCACTCCAGCAACCTGATATTCCCTAATTATGCCTCATGAGCATTCCATCTATTCTTTCTCCTATAATTTCTTGAAATCTCACTATCCTTTTTGTTAGAGTTCCTAATTGAATAGGTCTTGAAGTGTGCTCACATGTACCACATTCCTTTCTATGCTCTCTGATACTCTTGAGAGGCAGATGTATAAGTAAAGTAAAAGTGTTGTAAAATGTAAGTATTGAAAAGACAGGCCTTGGTTTTCATGGAGAGCTTTGCCATTTTACCAAAAACAATTCTGATAACTGTTCTTTTGCTCATTTCTGGACTCTGGTCACTTTTCATCTGCACAGTCGGTAGAAGATACACATGCTGTTGTAGGGCTTAACTGAGTGACTGGCACATAGAAGCTTGATAAACACTGGCTGACTGCCTCTGTAAAGTGTCCATCCAAACATATTCTAAAATCTTGGCAACACTCGTTTTTCATCCACTTGGTCTTTCCTTGCAGATGAACAGATCAAATTTCGTTATGTGATCACAGATCTATTTTGGAAAGTTCAACAATGTTCTGGTACTTCTTACAACCAATACAATATCACCTGTAAACAGCAGTATCAGGAGGAACTCTTCATTCATAGGGAATCCCTCCTTGGACTCTGAACTGAAGCTTCTCCACCTGAGTGGTGAATACGTTTCGCAAACATACATCTCTATTTTATGTCTCACCTAATATTTATTATTAGAGGGTCATTGAACAAACTTATTTCTGTTGTTACATCTTCTAAGGGATCTTGATATATGGATGGAAAATACCTCATTATAAAATAGCCTGCAAGACAAGGTTTTATTGTGAGGATTTGCCTACTGCTAGTCCCCAGGTGACAGAAACAACTCCCTATTTGACCACTGACTGACATGCCTATGTTACCAGGAAGTTTCCAATACTGGTTTGGTTTAGTCAGCTACGTATAAGCAAAGAATACAACTGATCATACTCAGTTTACCAAACTTCATCTAATTCTGGTATTTAAGGTTAGAAACTTTCCTAATATAATGCCTTTGTGGTTAAGAAGGTGGTGGGTCAAAGAATGTATCACCCAATGCCTGACTGCTTTAAAGGTCCCTTGCTCCCTCAGTCCCTGTGACACCTGCCCACAACAATCAGATAAAAGGGCAAAGCAAAGATTCAGAGATCTGGGGTATGCATTCCACTGTCTACCTGAGTTACTAGCTACGGAGCTGCATACCTGTAAGTAATGAAGTGCTTGACTCATTATCCTTTGAGCACTTGTGTTCTTTGTCAGTACATCACTCACAATATCCTCATATTTATTCTACAAAATCCAATACTTCTTTCATAATCAAAAAACAATGGAATCTTTTATTTTCTATATTTTTCAATTAACTATGAAATGATAAAAGATATGGTCCACTGTTGGATAAATGCCTTTGGAAGTCTATAAAACCTTCATCGAGGATGACAATGATTCATGGAAAAACACTTCTCCAAAGATTTTGTATAGATGGGAGAATAGACATATATGTCAGTAGTTAGTGATGTTCTCTTGTTCATCTCTTTTTCCATTAATAACGTGAGATATTTTACATGTCTTTTATATCTTCTCGTCCTTCAGATATTGTATATATCAGTATCTTGATAGCCTCACAATTGTTTTACCTCAAGCATAGTTGTTCCCTACATATACACAAAGTCCAATCTGGTTATTTTTCACTGAAGTATTCCATGTAGTGCTATTTCTGCCTCCTTTATAAGCATATCTAAAACTGAGATTAGGGCCCAAGTTTGGTGGTTCTATCATGATTTATAGAAAAAAATTTTTTTAATAGTTTTTATAAATCTTTTCTGTTTTGTTTTCCCCATTTATAGTTCTCCTGTCATTGTAATCCTTGACTGCCCTTGGGATGACTTTGCTAAACTGAATATCTTACCAAGGTTTCTTTAAAACAGTTTTACTTTCAATTGCTTCAATCTATTTTATGAAATAACACTGCTCATTATTATCCAGCATCCTTATATTCTAATTTGGTATTGCCTTTAGCTGCCATATCTTTTCTGTCAGATGTTTGCTAACTAGGGCACTATCCAGGCTCTTTTGGTATTCTTGTTATGGTAATTAATTGGCCATAGTTAAATTTTTCAATGAAATGGTCATAATCTTGAGTTGATATCCTCTCTGTTGTCTAATTTCAATTACTTATTTAACAAATCAGAGTTAAACTGTTTTACATATGCCATAGCTCCTCCTCCTCCTTTCTTCTTCATGGATTCTGATCTTAGCTGTGACAAGTTGATGGCCCAACTACATGCAACAGCCCCACATTAATGACATGTTTTTTTCCCATCTGTTAAAATATAATTTATTCTTTCTTTATGATGATATTTGATGTTTTCCATGTCCAGTGCTTAACAATTTTTAAAATTACTCTTTGAAAAAAAGAAAAACAAAAGCTTATTAGAAATATAAGACCAAGTGAAATAAATTCCTATATTAGCAATGTTCAAAAAAATATGTCTTAATCTGTACTATGAGTCCATCTAACACCTCTGTCAGGATGTGGGTAGCATGTCTCACCATTAACCTTCTGAAATCACAGTTGATCACTACACTGATTGCACTGATCAAAGTTCTTAAGTCTTTCAAAGTTGTCTTTACAGTGTTTTATATATAATGTATATAAATTGTTCAGCTGATTCTATTCACTTCACTCTGCATCAGTTCAGAAAAATCTTCTCAGTTTTATTTGCAACCACCTCCGTCAAAATTTCATATGGCTTAATAATAAATTTGTTCACCTATAACCCTAAATGCAGCCAGGTGGCACAGTGGATAGAGTGCTGGGCCTGCAGTAAGGAAGACATCTTACTGAGTTCAAATGAGGCCCCAAGACACTTACTGGCTGTGTGACCTTGGACAAGTCAAATCACCCTGTTTGCCTCAGTTTCCTCATTTGTAAAATGAGCTGGAAAAGGTAAACCACTCTAGTATCTTAGCTAAGAAAACAACAAATGGGGTCATGAAGAAAGAGTCAGACACAAATGAAACCACTGAACATCATTATCATCACCCCAACTAATGGCCTCTTACTTTCTAGTTGTCTGCCACCACAAAAAGAACTGCTATGAATACTTTTCTACATATAGGTCTTTTTCCTCCTTCTTTGATCTCTTTGGCATATAAACCTAAAAATCGCATCACTGGATTAAAGAGTATGCACGGTTTAGTAATTTGGGGGGCATAGTTTCAAAAGACTTTCAATAACAGATGGATCAATTCATGGCTCCACTAACAATGCATTAATGTGCCCCACGGCCCCTCCAGCATTTGTCATTTTCGTCAGCTTTGTAAATCCAAAGTGTGAAGTGGACCTTCAGAGTTTTTAAATTTGCATTTCTCTAATTAATAGTGATTTGGAACATTTTTTGGATAGTTATTGATAGTTTGGATTTTATCCTTTCAGAACTGCCTGTTCAAGTCATTTGACTATCTATCATTTGAGGAACGGCCCTTATTCTCAAAAATTTAAATCAGTTCCCTATATATCTTGGAAATGGGACCTATATCAGAGAAACCTGCTCCAAAATTTCCCCCCAATTACCTGTTTCACTTCTAATTTTAGCTGCACTGGTTGTGCTTGTGCAAAACCTTTTAAATTTCATATAATCAACATTTTAGCTTCTGTGATCCTCTCTATCTCTTATTTGGCCATAGACTCTTCCCCTTTACATAGATCTAATTAATGATGTCCCCTTTTATGTCTAATTTAAGTCACCTCTCTCTTCTCCCCACAACCCTGCACCTGTACTTTGCAACCCTAACACTCTTTTATGTATTATCTCCTCCTCTTAGAATGTTAGCTTGCACCTTTGAGAACAGGGACTATTTTGTTAGCTTTTGTTTTATCTATAGGGCTTAACATCATGTTTGGCATATAGCAGGTGCTTAGTAAATTCATCCCCCCCACATTCATTCACATACAGATTTGAGAATCATCTGCATAGAGATAACATTTGAATTCATAAAAGCTGATATTTACCAAGTAAAAGAAAATAGCACGAAAAAGAGAGGGTCCAGGACTCAGCCTTGGTAGAGGGAAACCACAATTAGTGGACATGACATATAAGAAGATCCAGAAACAGAGACAGACAAGGAGCAAACCAAAAAGAGAGCAGAATCACAAAAAAAATCCATAAATGAGAGAATATCAATGGGGCAGCTAAGTGACACAGTGGATAGAGCACTGGCCCTGCAGTCAGGAGGACCTGAGTTCAAATCCGACCTCAGATACGTAACACTTACTAGCTGTGTGACTCTGGGCAAGTCACTTAACCCCAATTGCCTCACAAAAAAAAAAAGAGAGAGAGAATATCTGAAAGGAGAATGTGGTCAGCACAGTCTAATGCTACAAAAAAAGCAATAATAAGAACTAAGAAAATCCCATTAGATCTGGCAACTAAGGGATCATTACTAACTTTAGAGGAACAGTTTCAAATACTAATGTCAGAAGCCAGAGGGCTGAGAAGAGGGAAAGAAAGCAGAGGTATTGAATGTAGAAAGCTTTTTCAAGAAATTTGGTTGAGAAGGGGAGGAGATTCAGAACAACAGATAGAAGAGATGGTAGGATCTAGTGATGTCTAAGAGCAAAGAGATTTGGGATCTCATATAATTATCAGGAAAGAACTCAGTATATAGGGACAGACTGGGAAATATAGTATGATAGTGGGGAGTCATCTGCTGGGATAATCGGGGCAAGTGAACTACAGCATAGGTAGAGTGATTGGCCTTTGTAAGGAGAAGGGCCACCTCAAAGACTGGGGCGAAGGAAAAAGATATTAGGGGATAATGTCTGAGGGTTGTGAGACAAGGAAAAGGGGAAAAGAGTAGCTCTTGGCAAATTACCTCACTCTAAGTGTGGTGGTGGTGGTAGTGGTGGTGAAATATGAAGCAAGGTTTTCAGCTGAGAGTGCAGGTTAGGAGGTGTCATGAATGATTTTAAGAGACAAGAAACAGTTTACAATACTTGCTGTCGAGACAGCATAGGAAGGAGAAGAATTACTTTGTCACAGTGAGGACCCAGTTACAGTTACATAACACAGATTTATAGTAGATTCAATCATGACTTCTTCAAACTCTGTTTGGCAACACATTCGTAGGTGCAAAGGAAAAAGATGATGGGAGCAATGAAGAGATGGGGTTTGGCATAGCATGATGCTTGGAATCAGGACAGAGAATAAGGGCCTTGAAAGAAGACAATAGTGTAAATTTGAACAGGTTCACCAAAGGGTCCAGAATGGAAAGGGAGGAGAGAACGGCTACAGCAAAGGTAAATGATCTAAGAAAATTCTGAGGGATGAAAGGATTGGAGGTCACAGAGATGAAGAATAGTGCTAAGGGTAGAAATGCATAGAAAAAAATGGAATGATAAAAAATTATGATCAGATAAAGGAATTTTGGAGTTCTAAAACACTGATTTGGAACAACTGTAGTGATAGCAAGAGCACAGGTGTATAGCTGATGTGGAGTAGAGGAGGTGGTCTGTAAATTGCTGAAGTAGGAAGTTAGATTACTTGAGGAAACATCAACAAATACATTGGCAGTTTAATCTGACATACTGCTATACTTCAGAACAGATCAGAACCTAAACATTTATGCAGTTTAATGGTCACCTAGCCTGGATTACACAAATTATTTATTGTTGAAACTAAATTATTTTTGTTATTCTATAAAGATATAGATACTGGTTCAAATTATACTACAGTTAAACTAGATTTTTTTTTTTCAAAAAACATATGAAAAGAATCTGAAGACATGTTGTTTACCTGGTAAAGGATGAGCTCCAAATTTGTGAAATGCTCTGTGACTAAATTCTTCAGCAATAAGCTTAGATTAAAAAGGGAAGAAAAAGTACATAAAAACATGTTACTCTTCAAAAAAAAAAAAGATTAAGTTAATTAGCAAAGAATATAATCTTCTCTATATTCCCTAAATAAATCACATTCAAATACAAATACAAAACTATAATAAAAAATCAAATAATCCTTTTACCAAATCATATTCATATTCTACTGTAATGTTTCTAAACTCATTTCTTGTTTTTGCCAACACATGTTCCACCAGCTAATGAAACTGTTCTCCCTCACACACACACTTGATACTTATCCCTCCTCTTTGTATTTTAATTTTGTTGCATGTTGTAGTGGTAAAGTGGTATAACAATGTAAACGAAAAGAGAATGAAATGAACCCTACTTTCTAGAAAACAAAATGAACTTTCCTCTAAAGAAGAAGTAGGGGATTACAAGGCACAATGTCATATACACTGTCATATGAGATCACTGAATCATATATTTTGCCTCAATTTTTTCTTTGTTACAAGGAAGATTTCAATTCTAGGTGAAGAGTGAGGAAAAGAGGAGGAGTGATATTATGAGAAATGACAGTGATATAAAAAGCATAAGATCATCAATAAAACATTTTTTAAAACATTCCTTCTCAAACACTATTCCATTTGAACATCTCCTTACACACACACACACACACAGAACAATAAAAAGAAAACTTTCCCTTGTAACAAAAAAACTCATACTGTGACCCCATATGATAGCATATACAATATTGATACCCATAGCGCACATGCTTATGCTACCAATCCAAGGAAAAAGTGTCATCATTGGTCTTTTAGAACCAACATTAGCTGTTATATTTCATCTTAATTCTGATGTATTGTTTCAATTTATGTTACTTCAATCATTGTGTATATTATCTTCTTGTATTTATTTTCTTTGATCTTCGTCAGTTCAGACAGGTCTTCCCATTTCCCCCTGTATTCCTAAATTCACTTCTCATTATAGAATAAGATTCCACTACATTCATATGCACAAGTTGTTCAATTATTCTCCAATATTTGTTTTTAGTCTTTTGGTACCACAAAAACAAGTACTATGAAGGTTTCAGTATATGTGGGAACTGCCTGACTTTCTTAGAATGCTGGGTTAAAGGGTATTAACAATTCAGTCACTCCTCTAAGATAGCTCTCCAAACTGTTAACCAGGAGTAGCAACTTACAGCTCTAAAGATATATTAATGTGCCTCTCTCTTACTGCCCTTTGAATGTTTACATTTTTGTAGCCAATTTTAAGAATGTGAGGTAAACAGCTGCTTTAATTGGCATTACATTATTAGTGACACCTATTTTTTGTATGATTGTTCAAAAAATGTATTTCTTCTTTTAAAAAATATTGATAATTTTGAGCCACTTGTCTGCTATAGAATGGTTCTTATTCATACATTTGCATCAATTCCCCTGTGTAACTTAACAACCAGACTTTTAATAGAGATATCCAATGAAAAGATTCCCCAACTCTCCTCACCTCCTACGAGTGTGATTACATATCTTTTTATTCTAGCTGTATTTAAAATTTTTAAATAATGGAAAGCATCAATTTTGTCTTTTGTGATCTCCTCTATTCCTTGTTGAGTTGTGGTTTCCCCTTCATGTCCTAATTTTTTTTATGAAATGATCTTTTATATTCAGGCTGTCTATCCAATGGAACTCCTACAGAATCCTACTCTTCTTCCTTATGGTATGGAGGTGACATGTAGGTTCAGGATAGTCACAGAAACATACTGTCTCCTCTTTGAGGTCCAGTCTAGTTAGAGTACAAGAGGCTCATCACCAGTGAGCTAGCAACTCAGCTAGGCATTCTTAGGCCATGGTAACCCATGAAACAAAGAAAACTGCAAAATGACCCTCCAACCTATGTAGGCCCTCGTCTGTAGATTATATGGCAAAGTAACAGAAGAAAGGGGAGAGAGTGCTAAGAATCACATAATTTTAAAATGTTCTAAGAACATCAATTAAGGTAGAGGCACTCCTTTTGAGATCACTGTCCTTTGACTAAGAAATAGATAAATTACTGCAGGGACTGAACTGTATTAATCTTGGACAGTTGCTATAAATATAACCAAGAGATAAAAGAAAGTTGCAGCTAAATGGAAGGATGATGTTTCAAAATTCTCCTTGGAACAGCAAATAACAGAATTGTAAGAGCTGGTAAATCCAAAGGTAACAATAAATATTTCATAATATATTCAGTCATCTTATACTGTAATTCTCACAATAAGTATTTGCAAAAACTATCACCAGTTTATATGCAAATAACAGTAGCAAAGAATAACGGGATAGAGAAAATCTACAAAGAGCTTGATAAAACCCTCCATTAAATCACCATATATTTTGCATGTGGTAACTCCTCAATGCAAATATGTTCACAGGGAGGGATGATAAAAAATATGTTGGGAAATATGATTCAGGAATAAGAAATGAGAGAGATCAAAGGGTTACAAACTACACAGAAACCTCACGCCTATAAAACAACAATACATTTCTCAGGAGTTGGAAAGCATTGGATGTGATTAGCACCACATAATAAAAAAATGAAACTGATTGTATTTTAACTGACATAAAACTACTTGTTACTGATGAAGGGATTCATTCCCAAATCTGCTATTTATTTAGAGTCACACTACTGACTTGCTAAAGCAAAGTTCCAAATTAATAACAGCCTAGAATAAAATTGAGAAAATATGACCTGCAATCGAAACAACTCTAAGCAGATCTGTTTAAGCAACCTATCGATAGTAAAAATGGAAAACTGAAGAGAAAGGAAGAGCTGCTCAGATTTTATTTCCTACGTTTAACTAATATAAATCAAATTATATATAAACAAGATGAACAAAAGAGTACAGAAACCATTTCAGCAAACATTTGATACCCTTGTCAAATGAACAGGCCTGTAGCCAAAGGCATCACTAGTTTAGAATATTTATTCACATGTAAAATATTACAGAGGACAGTGGAAGTTCATGAGCAATATTTCTTCAAATAACAGTGAGAAGCAATAGAAGAAAAATTGAACTTAAAGAAAGCCTAAAAAGTTAAGTGATTTTAAACGATTATTAGTAAGTTATAAGAAACACCTAATAGGAAGAATTCAGAGAAGCATGTTAGAGACTTATATAAATGGATTCAGAGTAGAGTAAGCAGAACCAGGAGAACAATATATATACAATTACATAGAAAACAGAAAGAACAAAGAAATGAAACTGGTGGTGGTGTAATTATGACTAAGAAGCTTAGCCCTGGAAAAGAATGAAGAAAATACACCTCTTTTACTTTTCTGCAATATTGCATACATCATAAGAGTCAGCTGATGTGACGGCAACTTCTGCTAAATTGCTTTTTCTTCTTTTTAAATTTTTTCATTAGAAGAGACGACTCACTGAGTAGGGAAGGGAGAGGGATATATTCTTGAATTAAGCTGATATAAAAATAAAAGTTATAATTTAAAAATTTTAATATAAATCATTTACAAAATAAAAACAAAAAAAATTAAATCTGACAATTTGAGGGACAACAAAATTTGAGGGAAACAAAAAAGACATAGAAAGATTTTTATAAGACTTTATACTGGCTAAGGCAAACATTTAAACCCTTACACAACAACTTAATGATCTCAAGCCACTCTCTGAAACAAAGACCTATTCTATTATACTAAAATTCAATGAGCAATGTTCTGCGGTTTCAACTCATAAAATATCAAAGATCTGAACATGAGAGACACTCAAAGGGAGATGGAGAAGTATAGCATGGGCTTACGCAAGCTGCATTATGTAATAAATGGGGCCCTGCAAAGCAAAGGCAGCATCAAGAATGTTGTTACAAAAATGTAAAATTGGGGGGAAAAAAGATGGGGCATAACACAGTGAGAGAAATAACTGATGGAGACCATGTCCTCTCACATGGTATTCATGAGATGTGTCAAGATATTTAAAAGAAGACCTCTAACATACCAAATAGACTCCTTGTGGTAGATTTTAAAAAATATGTAGAAAAGAGTCACATAGGATGCAGCTAGAAAAAAATATGCTTTATGAAGTGCAAGGCTAATAGAACAACTATAACATGTCATTTTAATTTGAGAATATCAGTTTAACTCAATTCAGAGAATGTGTATTTGCAACCAACATCGGAGAAGTATTGCATAGCATGTTAACTTTAATGAACCAGCAATTTATTAAATGTCATATCATAATTTTGATCAAATCAAAAACATACCTCAGGTGTAAGAAACTTTTCAATACGTTTGGCTATAAAACTTTTCTCCAATATGGAGTTGACTGATGGTCTATCCCTAGGATTCCTTTTAAATAAATGAGAAAGTAGACTACGGAGATCATAGGAATAATGCAAGGAAACAGGAGGAAAGGATCCAGAGATGATCTTCAGTACTAGGTTTTTCATATTGCCAGCTTCAAACTAAAATTATAGGGAAAAAAATGTAAATAAATAGGCCAAATAGGTCCACTTAACAGTAATTCTCTAATTCTACTTGATTTTTTTTTTGGTTAGGTTAACTTCCACTGATAAACAAAAGGAAACAGCAAAAAACAAAACAAACAAAAAAAACAAAAAAAACAAAAACAAATCCCCCCACTAAATTATAAAACTCAATTCTAATTAGAGATTTTACTAATTTACCATGAAGAAAATGCATGATACTACAAGTGGTGTTCCATGTGTCCCACACTGGAGGACTAGTGTAATGGGAAAGCCCTGAAAGCTCTTAGTAGACAAATTAAATATGCAAATGGCTGTTTGGTGGTGGTAGCAAAGAGAGGAACAGGACATTTCACTGCCTCACTCTCTGCCAGATTAAAAAGTGAGTCAAGGGAAATATACATTGAATTTTCTTTTCCTTCTGGTAGAGGGATGACATAGCTAAAGGGAAAAAGAAAAAAAAAATTAATCACCCAACCCAATTCAGTCAAAAATGGAACTAGCTGAGTCAGGTAAAGGGACATCCAATTCTACCACACTTTGCTAATCATGACTACTCTTTATTACTTTTTTGCAAAAAGCCTTTGAAAAGAAAATATGAATGTACTTCTACCCAATGTTACTCACTGGTTCCACAAAAGCTCTATATTAGGTGAAAAAATGCTTGGGGTAGGGGGTGTAGGGTAAGGAGTGAAAGCACAACTCCATAGAAATAATTATATGAAAGGAAGATATGATGCTGAGCACTAGAATTTGGGCAAAAAAAGTTTAAAAGATATTTACAGATAGCTGAGACTTCATAATTTTTATGATGATAATACTGACTTCTTCCTCCTTCTACAATCCCTGGGAACTCGGAGTTTCTCACTTGGTCAGCAGTCACTTTAAATACCTGCCCATTTTTTTCTCATCCAGCCTAGAAACTAAAAGGCAGCAAAGTTTAAGGATGAAGAGAGGCAAAGGTGGGAAAGGGCAAGTCAGCTCCCCTAGAGACTTACTAGTGCTGCTCCAGATATGCTCAGCAACTGCTTTCTTATTCTCTCTCAACTAATAACCATCCCCTGGCAGGCTACTAGCATTATCCAACAGAGAGTAGAGAACACTTCTGTTTCAAGGAACCAGATAGGGTTTGAGTATAAGTGTTTGGAAAGTTATTACAAAACAATTTGGTTGGGACAAAGCTCTGCAAAGCTTGCCTTGTTATCTGAGAATACATATACATGGAAAGTATGCATTCTAACTCTTCATACTGCCCATCATATTCTATATCTGGGCTTCTTAAACTTTTTCCACTTGTGACCCCTTCAGAGCTTCTTAAACTGTTGTAAATCTAGATATTTAAGCTTTTTTCTAAAAAAAGTTTTAATCTCATTTTAAAAGTATTTAAATTTAGAATAAAGTGTTCTAGCAAAGACACTGTTTGGATTCCTTTAACTGATACTAATTCTAATCTTTAGGAGTCTAGGAAATATGATTAGTCAAATTTTAAAAATTCATATTAAATGAATGAATTTAATATCACCTTTAAATTCAGTTCTGGGGCTAAATGAGAGACAACATGGGTGAGCAGACAAAGAGCTTGCCTTACAACCCAGGAGTCCTGGGATCCATTTAAGTCCCAGCTCAGATACACACTAGTTGTATGACCCTCTGCAGCTCCCTTAACTGCCCACTATTCTGAGTGCTGACCTGCATTGGTAGAGGCAAGTTCCCTACACCAATAAAATCAGTCTGTCAGGGGTGGGGAACCTGAAGACTCGAGGCCACATGTCTTCATACCTATCTATAGCTAAGGAATTTGTTAAAAACAAGCATAAAAATAAATATTAAACTTAAAAAAGAGTACAGTTATCCCTTCTACATCATGGGGGTTAGAGGCATGGCACCCCCAAAATTTGGAAATTCTGTATAAAATTTTTTGTCCCTCTCTTTGTACCACAGAAGAAGTTTCAATTTTTTCATTTTCTTTCATGAGGTGTTTACAATAGTAAAATACAGATTAATATTATACAATACTATACATATATTTTATGCATTTCTGAGTTTCTAAATTTTTTCTGCATTGTCTGCTGGCTTTTGTGTGTCATCTGTGGCTTCTGCAAAACTCTCCCAAAACTCCCATTTAATTTCTTACGCTGAACCACGACATATTGAAACCATGATGGGGAAAGTCACAATGTGTAAAGGATAACTGTATAACTAAATACTAATGGCTAATAAAATTAAATTTATGCTTAAGTGAAAATAAAATAAGAAAGTCCAAAAATATGACCAACAAAAAATTTTACCACCAGTGCTTTGCCACCACTCAAAAGATGCTAAAGGACAAAAGTAATGAAGATAAAATTTAATTCAATGTAAATAACTTTGAAGCATTAAAAAAAATATATACTTACTGCATGTTTAAGTGTACACATCTCATATAAGACACAACCTAAAGCCCAAATGTCACTAGAAAATAAAAAGCAAGAGACAGTATTTCTATTAGGTTTTAAAAACTTC